TCTATTAATTTCCCTCTCATTCTTCTCTACCATCCAGTTTTAGTCAATAATAAATCATTTCATAGTGTTTGCACTGTTAAATATACTTTTTCATTTTGTTTGTCAGCTTGTAGATACTCTTGTCTTACCTCCAAGGAGATGTCAAATTGTTCTAATTAGGCAAATGTTCTAATTTAGTATTCTCAATTTCAGAAAGCTGTATCAGTTAATATCACTTCAGTTTACCAATTAAGGCACCCGGTTGTACATGTTAATGGAAACATAAGAGAGCTTCAGGTCCTAATGATCCCATAAAGTGAAATCTTGAACTTTTTACCTGTAGCTTAGTGAGAATTTAGTGAATATCTGTTGAACCTGTAAATGGTTGGGCAAATTTTATAAGATAAGCAAGTCTTCTTTCTTCTCTGTGATATTATGGATTCTTTTGCCTAATTTTTCTTGTCAAAAGACCCTATTAGCTTTCAGTGAACACCTCAGTCCATGGCTCTATTTGGGTTATATTTTGTATATTCTTAGGAACTTTGTTCTTGGTATATTTTGAAGGGTAGCAGAATATGCCATTCCAAAACGTGCCACTCTTGGCATAAGGATTATTTTGAGCTGAAGGCAATTTAAGAAAAAGTAGATACAAGAAAAACTTTCTTCCTTCCCCCTATTTACCCAAAAGCAAGATATAAATTTGTAAAGGTGTGTCCCCTTCTCTCCCTGTGAGGAAGACAGAAGTTAATCACTGGAAACAATTCTAGATACTTCTCAGCCCAGAGACCTCACTAGCAGAATTACATAATAAACCCTACTAATTAGCCCTTACCATCCATTAGTTTCCCCCCATATTTTTACCTTTCCACAATTTGCCACACACATCACCCCCCGAGGCTCAAAGTCCTTTTCTTCTGTCTTTCCATTTTCCTACAAATTTCTTATTCTTTTGTTAAGATACTACTTAAGCCCAAGTTCTAACTGGCCCTTGGAGTTACTCATCACTGAGTACTCCTGTATGCAAGATACACATGTTAACATGCACACTTATGTTTTCTCTTTTTAGTCTGTCTTTTGTCCTTCTTATTTTTAGGGCCTCAGTGAAGGAATCTAAGATAGAAAGAGGGAATTTTGTTCCTCCTCTAAAGTTTCCAGTAATCCACAGATCAAGGGGAGAGGATCTAAATGTATAAAAAAAAAAATGAGAGCTTTGGTTCCCAGAAGTCCCTTATGCTAAAAGTGCAAAGATAACCATCATGTGGGAGATTTAGCAGTAGTGATCATTCATTCTTCCTCCCCAGTGAAATCTAACTAGTGAGAAAGTACAAGGAGCCAGTAGAGGATCAAAATATCATTACAGGCTTTATTAATAGCAAAGCTGATTAGGAAAATATGCCAGGACTCAGAGCCCCCTCCCAGAACCTGGACTCTAACTTCACCCAATAAGGGATAGGAGGAGGACTTGGAAATGAAATAGAACAAATCTTGCTTGTCCCTGTCAAGACTTTGCCTTAATTCAGTACCAACAGGTCAGTAAGGGAGAGACATGGGTACAGTTCCATCATGACCAACTTGTCTCTTTTCCCATCTTATCTGTCAGATTAATCTATCTTCCTCTAGTATAATACAGTAAGTAAGAAAGCAAAAATAGGAGTGGAAAGTGCTCAGTTCTTAACTGTTTCCTCCTGGCAAGTGGAACCAAACCTATTCTTTGATAGAGATTGCTAATTGCCTACCCAATAGCCATTTCTTCTTTCTTAATGAGTAACAAAATCCTAATTCTTTCTTCCCAGGATGGCAATGTCCTGAAGTTAAATGCTAAGTTGCCTAGTCTCCCTTGTAGGTAGGGCTGGCTAAAAAGATGTCAGAGGAGGTCACTCATTCAATAGGTAAACCATCATCTGCCTTTCTTTGTCCTTGTGTCTTCTTGATGCTTAGAATGTGGACATGGAGCACTAGCATCCATATGGAACCCATGAAGCATCTGCAAGAGTGAAGTCACTACTGAGACAGGAGAGAGGAAAGAGAGAGGATCTGAGTCTTTGCTGACTCACACTGCCGTTATCAGCCTTGGACTGCCTACTTCTAGATGCCTTTTATATTAAAGAAAAATAAATCCTCATGAGTTTAAGTCACTGCAGTCAGATTCATGTTATTAGCAGCTGAAGCAATTAGTAAATGATTGATTTCATTTGTGGAAGTGTGAGGGACGAGAGGGTAATATGTTTTTCTATCTAATACATGGGCTGAGGGCCAAGAATGAGCCATAGTGACAGATATCCTCCCATCTGCTCCACAGAATATAGAGAAACACCTAGACTGTGCCTCTCAAGCTCTATTCAGTTCTCCTTGGACTCTCTCTCCTGCTATTTGGTGTCTATCACTTACCTCTGTGCTTCCCCACCTGTTTATACTGTAGGACAATGTGTAGATATCAAGAACAGATTATTCTTTTTTATACTCCAAAACTATTTTACCATCTAATCATTACAAAATTGTATTTGGACATCAACATGAATAACATCTTTATATTTCTAATTTAGAATTGATTATAGATCATAATCATAGATCAAGACCAGAGTTATGGATTTAAGAGTCACAATAAAGTAAAGGTTGTTGAAGCCAAAGAGGCTGAAGAGATGCCTCAGGAAAAGCCAAGAATAGAAGTGGACCAAGGACTGGACCCACAGGAATCCCAGCTTTAATAATGGTCCTTAAAGGGGAAAACTTCCTTTGCTGAAAATCAAAATGTCATGGTATGATCAGGTGACAGCATTTTGGTATTGTGGTAGAGGGATTTACTTGAGGATATCTGACACAGAGTATCAAATTAGGTCTCTCAGTTACTATAAAACAGAAGCTCCTAAATGTGTTCCTGTTTGTTGACCACTGATAACCAACAATTCCTCAACACCAACCTAAAAGGACCAAAGGATGACTTATCCTTGGTTTGTAAGAGGAGTGAAGGTTTTTGGAATTTGCAAAATATTGTCTTTCCTATGGGAGCAATAAATATCTCTTGCCTAGCTATTGTAAGAATCAGCAAAAGTACCTCTGAGTTTTGTCATTTCACATCTTCAAAGGGACTGCTTTCCAAAAGATCCAAGCCAGTGTCTCAGTTAGTCAAATTTATGCTATCACTCCTACTCACCCCAATGCCAATATGTAATGAATGCAAGGAAGGACATTTGGGAGACATAATGCATTTATTTAATAATTATTCCTTTTCATTCATATCCTTATAGTTCTGATTTATTCCTTATTCCTACTCATTTATACCAATGGTAATTTTTTCTTTGTCTGTGTCATAGTATACTTGCTCTTATCTTTACTTATTCTTGACTCTTTCCTAATGTCCCCAAGATCCCCACATACTTAGACACAGACAGTCCTCTGGAGAGTAGAAAACAGCTAGGCCCAGACAATCAGCAGTTGTAATTGCTCTTTGCTACCTAGTTTCTCATACCAACTCACATTGTACAACAATCTAATTTTATGGAAGAGTTAGAGAATATAAGCAAAGCAAAGTACATCAACTCAGTACTTTATATGACTCTCCCCATATCCAAAAGAAAAGTACCAAATACTCTTCACAGGGAGTTTTCTCGAGGACACCCCAAGTTCTAGCCTCTACTCAGCCCCATTATTCTGGCCATACTGCGTCTCCATCCTCCCATCTCTGCACAAGGGTTGGTCTGGCCCAAGATTCACCTTCCTGCTTACACTCAGGGCAGTTTATGAGGTTATATTCCTTGAAATATGAACTATTTGATATAGAATAGCAGATTCTTCAGCTGAAGAGTACAGAGTGGACTTTGGCGCTCAAGATTTGGATCACTTCCAAATTTCCCTGCAAGTAGAAAATGTAATATGACTCCTCTTTCTTCCTGATTCTCTAATATTTAACTATAACACATACACATATATACACATAAACACACACACACACACATATTCTTAGAGACAATAAACTCTAAATCTACTTTAAAGAATAAAAGAATTTTCCTAAACACCCCATAATGTACACAGTATTTCCAGGACAAGATAGAGATAGCAATTAACATAATCACAGAAATCCATGGAATTTCTCCTTTGTTCTTGCTTTCAGCCTTAGCATACAGAGCCCAAGAAATTGGCCCAATTACAAAACCACCTACGCCATGGTTACCATTCCGAGCCCTAAGAGTTCTGAAACTTAGAAATGAAAGACTTTAGTTTTGCTTTATCCTTACATTTCAAACCATGTAAACAACTCTTGTGCAAGGCCTTCTCTTGTGTGTACATGTATGTATATGAGATGATTTATGACATCCCTAGACAAGCAAACTCTCAAGAAGCTGGGAGACTATCTTACCTATGGCACCAAGGTATCTACATTTGGTCTTTGGTAAAACTGCTCCCATAACTGAAGAAAACAAATTCACTCTCCTGGACCCTCATACCATTACTTGCCCCATCTTGCAACCAGAGATGTAGCTTGGACAGGGGCACCTTGGTGACTCAGTCAATTGGGCATCCAACTCTTAATTTTGGCGCAGTTCACTATTCCAGAGTCATGAGATGGAGCCCTACATCAGGGTCCATGCACAGTGGGGACTCTGCTTGAGATTTTCTCTCTCCATCTCCCTCTGCCTCTCTCCGCACCCACATGCTCCGTCTCTCTCTCTCTCTCAAGTAAATAAGTCTTTCAAATAAAAAGAAGAAATATTGCTTGGACAAACCCATTTAGCCTACCAAGAAAAGGATGAAAGGCCTAGAGCTTCATCTTATTCATCTCTTGGATGTAGTATAGAGTCTAGTAAACAGTAGACAATTAATAGATGCTAAATTGCAAGCAATGAACCAATTTACATGGTACAAAGTAGTATAATCTTCAAGAAGAGTATAAGCAAGAAACTTCCAATTTTGTAAAGTGGAGAAAAGACCCTACTTGAAAAGAAAAGATGGAAGGTTCTGTACTTGTAAGTAAAAAGATACTTGAGTGTGAGCTTACCAGTAATTAAGTGATACAAACAGAACCATCAGAGAAGCACTCTTCTCAGGGTTTTACCCAGGGCAAGTTTCACATCCTTATTCCTCAAACTGTAGATAAAAGGGTTAAGCATGGGAACCACATTGGTATAAAAGACTGAGGCAAATTTACCCTGGTCCATAAATCCAGGAAAAGAGGTTGTTAAATAGGTGAATGCCCCTGACCCAAAAAACAAAGCAACAGCAATAATGTGAGAGCCACATGTGCTAAAGGCTTTGGACCTGCCCTCAGCAGAAGGAATACGGAGGATATTAGAGAGAATCAATGCATAAGAGATGAAGATGCTGATGCTGGATATTGTGATGACCACTCCCACAATAATAAAAAACAGCAACTCATTGACATGTGTGCTGGTGCAAGAGAGCTGCAAGAGAGGAAGAACTTCACACAGATAATGGTGGATGATGTTGGAATTACAGAACGTCAGTCTCAATATGCTTCCAGTGTGGGCCATAGCTCCAGCAAACCCTATCACGTATGAACCAAACATCAGCAGAGAACAAACCTGTGGGGACATGTTGACCGTGTACAGCAGAGGGTTGCAGATAGCCACATAGCGATCATAGGCCATTGATACCAACACATAGCATTCAGAATTGATAAAGAAACAGAAGAAGAATAGCTGAGTTATGCATCCCACATAAGAGATGATATTTTCTGACACAAAACCATTCAGCATTTTAGGGGTAAACACACTGGCATAACAGAGATCTATAAAAGACAAATTGAAGAGGAAAAAGTACATTGGAGTATGAAGGCTAGAATTCAGCCCAATTAAGGTGATCAAGCCCATGTTGCCCACCACAGTAAACACATATATCCCTAAGAACAAGAGGAAGAGGGGTAGCTGGAGCTCTGGCTGTTCTGATAATCCCACTAGGATAAACTCAGTTGCTGAGGAGCTGTTTCTCAGAGTCATTCTCTTCCAGGGAGCTGTCTGTGGAAACAAGTAATAAAATACATAGATTGATGATAGTCACATGCATCACTGATGGAAGAAGGCTCTAGAAGATGAGCCCATATATGGATGTCCTACCTTTTTACTTTCTTTTCTCATCTATGCCTCCTCCCCCAGCCAGGTTGTTGACAATATGCCCATGACTATATCTCAGTTCCCCTGGCAGGAGCTCTCCTGTCCCCCATTGTCTCCACCCATTCTCTGCCTCCCTCTCCTACCCTAAAAGGAAAGCCAAGAGTGCCCCCTACTGTCTCTACACATCCTACCTTCTTCCTCTAAACCCCTTCACTCCATCTTACATTAAAATAAGTGTTGAAAACAGGGAAGGGATCGATATACTCTAGATGTCTGGGTTTAAAAGAAAATCATCAGGAATGATGAGATTCAGACATTCACCTTCCTTCTCAGGCCCACTCAGTGCTGGGCCTTATGCAATCTTTTTTCCCATTAGCTCAAAGGAGAAAATGGTGTTCCTGCATAAAACAAGCAGCCTCAAGTGTTAACTCCTCTGAGTCCCCCAGTGCTGAGAATTAGACCTTTTACAGACCCCAATCACCAAGGTACTCTGGGAATAGAATAAGATTTCTGTTTGTGGATTTTCCCAGATGGTCTACACCAACTTCAGGAGAAAATATAAAATAGCAACTCTCATTTTTACCAGAACCCCAGCTGGCATATCACAGAGAAGTTTATGCTACTTGATCTCAGGGGCCTGCTTAGACACAGTTTCCCCTGGGAATTTCTCAGAGACTTGTTTCTGTGAGGAAAGAATTGCACTGTCTTTGTTTACAGTCTGGATTATGCTGCTTCCCTAGCATTTTGGGACTCGGGTATTCTACTCAAACTTCCCTGTTTCTCCAGGGATTTCACGCCATTCACTACTGAGTGAGAGAGGTTTATTTTTCCTCTCCATTAACTCTTAGCACTTAAGCTTGACTTTAAAGGAAAATGACCTCAAACTTATTTTAGCCACCATTTCCAAATATTCAAAGGGAATTTGGTAATAGACAACAATTTAAATCAGAGTTGTAGATGCTACAGAGAGCACCTCAGACAAAATGTTTCAAACAGCCTGAGCTGCTCAGAACAGTGGAGACACCACACTACCACCACCACAAGCACCACCTACCCTCAGATCTATTAAGAGCCACAGACAGGCCTTTGGTATATATAAGGAGATTAAAATAAAACAACACATATGCAAGGAAGCACACATACACCTGCATAAAGTTACTCCATAGATACGTGCAGGCCAAGATGTAACAGGAGATGTACCTAAATGTTTTAATCCTGTCATTCTCCAGATGACAAAGCTGCTCTCCATATGATCTGCCACATGAATATTCTAAGAAACATTCAAAGGCATGTCAGCAACTGCATTTGTAAGTTAACTGAGACTGCCTAAAATAATCCCAGTTTTCCTGGAATAGTTCTGATTTACATCTATTATCCCTGTAATTATTAATAGCACACTGTCTCACTCTTAAAAGTGTCTGGATTTGGCTAAGAAATTATATGGTCACCTTACTAAAAAGAGCATAAGCAGCTATTCAGGTCCTCTGGCCCCCACTGCCTGCTAGACCCACTGACCTCCATCCTCATTCTAAGGGAGTATCTTTTACCCTCCTTGCCCTCAAAGTTCTCCTTAACTGAACTTACTCCTCCTGACCAACCAATACTATATCTTCAGTAGATTTATGTTCAAAAATGGGAAGAGCCCTTGCTGCAAACTGTTTTAGGGTTTCCAAAAGCCCTAAAGCAAAGAAATACAAACCCTAGCTACCTTCCTAAAATAGGTAGAAGCAGAATAGAGGGAGAAGAATTATGTAGGTACAAGGATTAAACATTGGTACAGTTTTACATTATAATCATTGTGATCATAATATGAGTGATACAACATTGTTGAGTATCATTGTTTATGGAACAATAGATTGATTAGTAATATTTAACAAATTTGGACATACACATATATTTTGACCAGTCGATTCAACTCCTAGGTGCATACCCAATAAAAATAAATACACATGTTATCTAATGACATGTCAAGTTTCATAGCACCATTATTCATAATAACCAAGAACTGGAAGTTACCCATATTTCAATCAGCTATAGGCTGGATAATAAATTGATATTAATAAAAAAGAATTCCTAATAGCCATGAAAGTTAATAAAGATTTTATTTATTTATTCATGAGAGACACACACAGAGAGAAAGAGGCAAAGACACAGGCAGAGGGAGAAGCAGGCTCCATGCAGCGAGGCTGATGTAGGATTTGATCCCAGGTCTCCAGGATTATGCCCTGGGCTTAAGGTGACGCTAAACCGCTGAGCCACCCAGGCTTCCCAGCCATGAAAGTTAATAGCATAGATAAAGGTCACAAATTTATTATGAAGCAAAAGAAGCCAAGCATAAAGAGTACACACTTTATGATTCCATTCATATGAATTTCAAAAATAAGGAAACTAATCTGTGGTGTTATAAGTCAGATAGCTGTTATTTGGGATCCCTGGGTGGCTCAGCAGTTTAGCGCCTGCCTTGGGCCAAAAGCGTGATCCTGGAGTCCCATGATGGAGTCCCACATTGGGCTCCCTTTATAGAGCCTGCTTCTTCCTCTGCCTGTGTCTCTGCCTCTCTCTCTCTCTCTCTCTCTCTCTGTCTCTGTCTCTGTCTCTCATAAATAAATAAATAAATAAATAAATAAATAAATAAATAAATAAATAAACTTTAAAAAAGAAAGATAACCATTATTTATGCTTGGTCTTGCAGAGTCTAGTGACTGGAAAAGGATATACTTCAAGGTTGTTGACAATATTCTATTTCTGATAGGGGTACTGATAACATGGATGTGTTCAGTTTGTAAAAATTCATCAAGCTATTGCCCTTTATAAAAAGATTTTATTTATTTATTTGAGAAAGAGATAGTGCGAGAAAGCAAGAAAGAGCACAAGTGGGAGGGAGAAGCAGACTCCCTACTGAGCAGGGAGCAGGATGCTGGTCTCCATCCCAGGACCCTGGGATCAGGACCTGAGACGATGGCAGACACTTAACTGAGCCACCCAGGCACCCCCATCAAGCTATATCCTTGTGTTATACTTAAGTGTTAACGTAAGTCGAGAACAAAAATAAATTAATATTTTAATAAATCATCCTGACAAACTACTTCAACACTAAAATTACAAAGCATCTTTGAGCCATTAATTCCCTAATTTGTAAAATGAGAATTTACTGACCTAACAATTCAGTATGATAGCATGTACAAAAAAGACAAAAACAAGGGCACCTGGGTAGCTCAGTGGTTAAGCATCTGCCTTAGGCTCAGGTCATGACACTGGAGTCTTGGGATCGAGTCCTGCATCAGACTCCCCACAGGGAGCCTGCTTCTCCCTCTTCCTGTGTCTCTGCCTCTCTCTGTGTGTCTCTTTTGAATTAAAAAAAAAAAAAATCATTTTTATTTTTCAGCCATCTTGTATCTCTGAAAACTCCCTTTATTTCTTATATAAAGGGAGGAAATCAAAGGGTAAAAGAATTTATGGATATGAAACAACTACAGAGTGCCTGGTATTATGCCATTATGTTGGATGTTTTCTAATGTAATATTTATAACAACTGTACAATGTGCATATATAGAAGATTGTTTTGTTTTTTCCAAAGATGACCATAGCAGCACATACCCATAAACACACATAAACACACGTATGTATCCTACGTGTGTATCCATGTTCTTGGTACAATAGGACTGACACTCCTTAAATAAAGAGATGGGATCTATATTCCCTACCCTTGCATCTAAGCAAGGACTTGGGATTTCTCCAACCAAAAGAGAATAGCAGAAGCAATGTTATCTGACTTCTAAAGTTCAGCCCTACAAGGGTACAGCTTTCACCTCTCTCTCACTCTTTCTTTTTCTCTCTTTCTCTCTCCCTCTCCTGACCCCTTTCACTCTTATTTCTCTTTTATCATCCTCTAGCCTTCAGGACAATCATATTGGAACCCTCTGGCCTTGTCTCCAGATATGCCACAGACCAGCAAGTTTATGGTCATTTACCCAATATTAAGAAGATGCAGAAGCCCTCTAGGACCTGTATGCTAGTTGGTAGACATCAAGGAAAAATACTCAAGGGAAATGGCCCAGGGACTTTTCAGTACAAATTTGAATTACTTAGTCCAGTTCTCCCTTATTACTCAGAATATCTCCTATGGTTCCATATTTAGATGTTTTTAGGCTTATTTTTATGTAGAAAATAGGCATTTCCTTTTAGTACACATAATTTTTCTAGTACACATAATTTCATATCTTCTATATTTCCCCCTTGAGCAACAATTTATCGGATGTGCGGCAATGGCCCAGCAATGAAAGACTGAGAATTAATTATCTCTGTTCATTAGAGTAGAAATCAACTTATTAACTTATTCATCATCCAATATATATTATTAAGCCCAGCTATTTCCAGTACTCTTGCAAACTTTATACTCAGAAAAATCTCTCCTGAAAGAACAAAACTAAGAATTCTGAATAGAACAAAACTAAGAATTCTGGGTAAAATACAAAAATCATCTATCTGTTAATGTTTGAGGTGGCAGAGACTCAATGAATTCCCATGAGAGCAAAAGACAAAAGATAAAGTAATAATTCAGAGGGGTACACAAGCACTGGACCTGGAATTTCCTTGGGGGAACTAGCAGATTCCCAACGGCCCAGAGTTGGGTTTTAATTCAGTTGCCTATGCAGGACATAAAGGATAAATCCTGGGATAGGTCCATTCATGACTAAACCTTAGCAGCCTGAGAATTTGGAATCATTACTAACTTGTAATCCTGGATCCCCAAAGAAACATTTTCCATGGCTAAATTAGAGAAATAAAAAAAAACCCACACAGGAAGAAGGCAAGATATGTGTCTGATATGGCCTTGGCTCTAGGGAAGAGGAAGAGATAAAATATCTCCTGAGAACTTCTAACAA